ATATATCAAGTCCGTTTCCCAAGCTACGTAGTCAAATTCGCATTCTCACCGCACTGGAAGCATGTGGTACTAGTGGGGTTTCCAAGAGAGATGGTGTTGTTCGACTTGCAGTACGAATCGGTGTTGTTCGCCACAGGGTTTCCGAGGGGTTGCGGCAAGTTCTTGGAGGTTTTGCCAGACGTGAATATGGAGGTCTTTTACTGCGTCCATTTGGACGGCAAGCTCAGTACATGGCGACGTAAAGAGTGAGTGTTGTATGTCTGACGTAACTTTGAATGTTTCTCTTCTGTCGGTTGTGTAAAATTTGTGTTTACCTTGAGCTATGTTGATGATCTTTGATAGATGTAGTAGACTATTATCAAATAGACGAACTCAATCAAATTAGTATAGTACGGTGTAGACTAGAGAACCAGTGGAGACGAGTGGGATATGAAACCTTAACAGTTGTCAGAAGTTTAGTGAATCAAGAAACCTATTTCATGGTTATAGATTGTGGTTCTTGTAACCTCGTTAATTTGCTAATTCAGTTATGCACGAAGCTGTAGTAAGTAAGAATGATGCGACGACGTGCTTCTCTTGTGAAGTAGTAGTAGTAATTCTGTGTTATCTTAGCTATATTCCTGTCATTTTAGAGTACGATTTTAGAAAAATCTAACTTGTCACCGATTTTTCTTTAGGGAAGAGCAATTGCATATTATGTGTTCGATGGATGAATTAATGCCCTCAATCGGCACAAGTGTTCCTTCTCCGTTAGTTCTTGCAGTCGCCATCTCGCAGTCGGATTACACGCTCCAAGACATTCACAAGCTTTGTCCTGACTCGGATTTAGACGTTATGGATTTCAGTAATCCTTTTGATTTCCTTGACGAATCTCGTATAATTTCGAAAACACATTTAATATCTGTTTCGGATGATGGGAAAGTGTGGAAGTGGCTTCTGACCGCTGAAGGGTCTAGGGATAGTCAGAAGGATATCGAGAATGCGAAAAGGGTTGCCAAAGTCGGTGAAGTTTCACTGGCTGAAATTGAATCCCGATCAGAAGGTTTTTCCGCTGCTGAAGTCACACATGTAAATGATTCAGATAGCAGAGAGAAGCGCAAATCTGGTCCCACTGTTGTTGCAGATGAAGTTTCATTTAAGGTTGGTTGTCTAGTAAATCTTATCTTTCGAAATTAATGAATCTTATCTTTCGAAGTTAGTAATTTCTATCTTGCTTTTGATTATATACTGCCCGTTGTTTTTGCTGTTGCTACTTTGACTGGATTAGATGTTACAGGGATTATAACTGGAGATGTAATGTTTTGCATGTTATAATTTTTTTCTTTCTATTTCTTCTGAAATATATATTTCATCCAATAAAACGGGCTGTTGTGATGCTCCTAAAATTTGATTGGGTTTTCAATCATTGAATTCTCCTCAGGTTTCCTTCGATTTCCAGAAGAAGAAAAAATCTTTATGTTTGTTTTGGATTTTGAATTGAGAGTGCAGGTTCTGCTGTCCTTTGTATGCATATATTTTAAAATTGCTACTGTACCTGTAATGCAGATGAATCTAGTCGGGCAGCTTCATCTTCTCTCATCAGCTGTGACTATGCTAGCTGTACCCTCCCCTTCATTGACAGCTACTTCGGCACGTGAGTAATGTTCCATTTTTCCATGCGTGAAATTCCGTATTCCCCCTTACGCCCTCAACCTCCCCCCCCCCCCCCCCCCCAAAAAAAAAAAAGGAAAAAGAAAATGTGCTAGCATTTAATGTATTAATGATGCAATACATGTAGGTGGGGGAAACTCCCCTGCTGTAGCTGTTCCACTGGTTGCTTTAGGAACGCAAAGCGGCACCATTGATGTGATTGACATCTCTGCCAATGCTGTTGCTGCAAGTTTTTCTGTCCATAACAGTGTAATCAGGGGCTTACCTTGGTTAGGAAATTCAAGACTGGTTTCGTTTTCCTATACGCCGGTAATAATTATTGAGAGAAAGTAGTTACAGCTCCTCTATCCATTTCTGTTTAGGATATCTTGATAATTGCTTCAAACTTATTTCTCTTTGGTTTAAGTATCCTTCAACTGCAGCTTCTTATGGAATATCTATCTTTATTCAGGGAACAGAGAAAACAGGAGGATATATCAACAAGCTTGTTGTAACATGTCTAAGAAGTGGTCTTCATCGAACATTTCGAGTAATGCAGAAGCCAGAGCGAGCACCGATAAGAGCATTAAGGTCTTCATCTTCTGGAAGGTTTGTTGATTCTTCGTCTTTATTTCGTATTTATTTACACCATTCTGTTGGATTTCCTACAAACTACCGAAAACTTGATCTTCTTGTGAATACAATAAGTAGCTTTAGCATTTAGTTTTTGATATTTTTTTATTGTGGATATTAGCCACAATCTATAGTAAGCATAGGATTGAAATCACGTTTCATCGTATAAAGTTCTGGGCTAGCTGAGTTTTGGGGGGGACAATCAAAAGTCTCGATTTAGTAAAATATTAAAACTTAGTTAAGTCTATGACTCGATTAACCTCTATGATTTATGTTCGATTATTTCTAATAGTAAGTTTTCTTTAGTATGCAGTTGTTGAGAGTGATTTTTCTTCTTATTCCACCACTTCTTATCAATTTTTTGGATCTTCTTTCTCATGTAGTTACAAATTCTTTTAGATATCTTTTGATCTTGTTCCGGGATGCACCTGTAGAAGTTTGGGCGATGACAAAGACTCCAATAATGGTTAGTTTTCCAATTCTTCTTTATCTGCCGTTTTTGAATTGTCGTTCAACCTTTACAATGCCGAATTGATAATTTTTTTTGTAATGCAGCTGAGGTCGTTAGCTCTCCCGTTTACCGTTCTTGAATGGACTCTTCCAACAGTTCCAAGGCCGGCCCAAAATAAACCTTCGAGGACCTCTTCGTTTTTATCCAAAGACCGTGGTGGCATCCCTCCAGCTTCTTCCCCTACTAAAGCATCTTCAACAGATGCAAGTGAGCAATTTTTGCTTGAACTTTTTTTTTATTATTAATTAATTTAAAGCTTTCTCTAATATTTACATGCAATAAATCATGAATTGCAGAGGAAGGAGCAGATGGATCTAAAGATGAATTTTCGGAAAGCTTTGCATTTGCTTTGGTGAATGGCGCACTTGGAGTTTTCGAGGTCCATGGACGAAGAATCCGAGACTTTAGGTATGGGTTTCTCTTGATGCTTCATTTCTCATGTTATATAGGAGGCGTCACCATTCGCATTTCTGCCTCCATCGAAGTTAAGAACCAGCAGCTGTAAAGTGGAACTCAAACTCAGTTTGCTCACAAATCAATTTATTTGTTTAAAGTTATTGCTGATAAACCATGCCTCTAAAACTAGTAATAAATCTTGGATGAACTTGGTTCTTGCTGATAACCTTTTATATCTGTTCCAATCTCATATCATAAAGTAAGGCTGCATTAGGATCGAAGGATTTGGGCGAAGGAAATCAAATCCATAATAACAAACCATTGAACTTGTGATCGATTTGTCTGACAATGGATTTCAAATTCTTAGCTCTCGTTTTTAGAATTTTTTTGAGTCGTGGTGGATTTCAATCCGTCTCATTTGGAGCCATTTGAAATCCTTCTCCAAATCCTCTCCTCAAATCCAAATCCTTCAATCCAAATGCACTATATTTATACTTTCATGGTTTCGCCTTGTGTTTTGTATGCACTATATTTCGGCTTTAGTCATACTTGAATTTCCGTTCGCCAAGTAACTATTTCATGTTAGTTTTTCAGTAGTTCCAAGTGTACCAACTTTGAATCTGCATGGCTTTCTTTATTTTCTTAACATCGTGAAAATTACTCTATTTCGTTTGATCTTGAATGAATTTGTCATTATTTCAGACCAAAGTGGCCATCATCTTCATTTGTTTCCTCCGATGGATTGATTACAGCTATGGCGTACCGCTTGCCTCATGTAGTATGTACCATATTTGACTAATCTTTCATTACGATTTAAATTTGTCTTTCTTGGCTTTATGAGATGTTTTATATTAAAAGGATTTATACTCAAATTTTAGGTCATGGGCGATAGGTCAGGAAACATACGGTGGTGGGATGTGACAACTGGCCAATCATCTTCATTCAACACTCACAGGGAAGGTATTCGGCGAATCAAGTTCTCCCCAGTTGTTCCTGGAGATAATAGCCGTGGACGAATCGCTGTTCTGTTTTATGACAACACATTTTCCGTCTTTGATCTGGTAAGATTACACGTCACTCGTTGAATCCTTTGTCAGTGTGTCAGTCATTACGTGTGAATTAAGCCGTCAATTTTCACATATCATAAAGTTGCACGTATGACAATATAGAATAAAATGATATTTATTCTCTTCGTCTATCAGTTTTAAGAAGAGCCGGATTACGAAAACCTTTCCTACCCGATTCTAAATTTCAAGTGTTTCTGAACTGTAGGATTCACCCGATCCATTGGCTAATTCCCTTTTACAACCGCAATTTCCTGGAACTCTAGTACTCGAACTCGACTGGCTACCTTTGCGGATAAATAAAGACGACCCGCTGCTATTGTGTATTGCAGGAGCCGATAGTAGTTTCCGTCTCGTTGAACTAAATGTGTACGTCTCGTAATTCCTTGACGTTCTCTATATATTCCATATTTCATGTTTTTACTTGCTTCATCCACGTGTGTGTGTGTGTGTATATATATATATATATATATATATATATATATATATATATATATATATATATATATATATATATATATATACACAGACATATGCATAAATATACACATGGACATATATATAATGGTACTCGAACAAAATAGACTCTGGATATCTCTATGTATATATACACCACTGGAGCAATATAGTCCGATATCTCTATCTCTCTGTATGCAGGGCACCACGCGAATATCGGGGATTTCAGATCCCTAGCCCCA